TCGTTTCAGTAATATTTGACAGCTCGCAAAAGTCCCTAAACTACCGAATACTCAACATCTGATGTCATTACCGAAATGTCCGCCGAGTGCTCAGCTGTTCTAATCTCGTCAAAAAAATATACCGAGTTCGGTGAAAAAAAGAAGTGAGTGTGCATATTCATCATCATCAGTTTTGGTCCACTAGAACTATTTTAAATAAGTTTAATTACATTAGCAACAAAGTCTCTCGGTTGTACTTTGCATGGGAGTGAGCTGTGAGTTTGTTAGTTTTGTGTCAGTTATTTTGCATTAAATCTTGATTTTAAAAGATATAAGTAAATGTGTTTGAACAAAATTTCATTGTGCTCAGAAATCGAAGCCCTTTCAGATAAAGTACTTGTTCGCTAACTCGTTCTTTAACTGAGCTGCTTTTTAACTGGGCGTTCGTTGACTGGGCTGTAGACCAGTTAAAAAGCAGTTATTTATACGTCAACAATAAACGTCACATTTAGTTTGGCATTTCGTTGTCAAAATTGGTGAAAGGCATTCGAAAGGAATATTAAGTGTTAATATAAATAAACTTGAAATCATTTTATTTCTCACTAAAATCAGATCTTGAATGCGTTTTTAGCGAAAGCGTTAAGTCTTTCCAAAATTGCGAAGTTGAATGCTGTGAAAATAACGCTGGGCGTTTGTTTTCAATTGAGTTGGCGGTAAAGATTGTGGAAAAGAATGGAATTTGTAAATATTAGGGATGAGTTGTATAAGTTGTAAATATTAGGTAACATGTGTTGTCATATAGGTTGTAATCTTGTGCGAAGAAGCTGGTTTGTGTCTAAGCTATGTTTTAAATTTAGCTTTGTATATACATTTGTAAGGTTTTATAGCAAGCTAGCGTTTTTTATGGAACAATAAATAAGATGGCTAAAGAGGAGAATTGCTAAATACGCGAAAGAGATAGGATTCAAATGAACACATAAATAAGATGGCTAATCGACATATGTTTTCGCGCCATATCCGATCCTTTTATCTTGAAGAAAACCTGTGGTTTCTTGGGGAACAAAACTTCTGATCTCGTCCATTTCGCTAACGAATCGGCTGGAAAGCAGATGTGTGTGACGCGGTTTTTAAGTTCGTAAAGTGGACTCTTTGAAAGTAATCTACGTACTCTAAGGTGATTAGTGTTCAAAGTAGTTGCGTCACAGACATCTGCGTTTTTAGTGTTTTAGCGTACAAAAAGGTAATTTGTAAAAAACTTTTAAACATTAGCATTTTTGGTAATTTCGTGTTTTTCGCGTTGGACAGCTCGTTCAACGGGCTTTTTTTGTACGGGCTGGATTTTTGACGAGTTCGGCAGTCATCATCGCCGGAACTTTGGCTTCGTGGCGTCATCAAAGCCACATTTTTCGTCCGTGAAGGACGGATCAGACCCGTGTGCACAGTGAAGGCCCGCCTCTCGTAGGTAGTCAAACGGAGGATAGTGAAGACGCTAAATTTCTGCTTAGCGAATTGTTTCCCGACGGCCGCCAAAAGCCGTCGGTAAGGTCCCCATCCCGTTACAACCCCGGGGACCGTGACATTCGAGAGCTCGGACCGTAGGAGTACGAAACCAATCGCGTACCTCGGTTCGGATTTCAACCAAAGAGGAGAAGATTTCATTCCATCTCGGGCGGTCAAAGCGGAAACATAGTACGCGAAGCCGTGCGACGGTACGTTGGTCTCTCTCTTCCGCGGAGTGAATCTCCCGGGAAAAGCTCGACTCCGTCGATGCTCAGCTCTCTAGAAAGAAATCGGAAGCCTTCCGTCCAGCCGCCACTACCTCCCCACCTCTAATTTCGGCCATACCGCACACGGGTCACTTTTCGTCGCTGCACGCCATTTCCGCAGCTAGATCGGCGCCATTCCGAGACCGCCGCCATCATCACAGGTCATCGGAAGGTCGACAGTCGCCATCGCTAGGACCTTGGTAAGGTCTCCGGCCGCCATTATCGCTCCATCCGTCGCCATCACCGATCCATCCGTCGCCATCACCGCTTCATCCGTCGCCGTTGCATCGCATCGCATCGCATCGCATCTCATGGAACCTAAATCCTGCGCAGGTATGTCCGTATTCTTTTTTTCATGGCCATGAATTTAGTTTTTCCGTTGTTATCGGGTTTGTCCAACACAACACGAATGTAATTATCAAATACGTGAATATAGTTTGAATTGGTTTTTTTTTTTGTTGTAAAGTATATAGTTTCCTTCATACGGTTGCGTCTCTTAGCTGGTTCATACGTCACTGTGTATTCCATTCGTAAGATCTCTCTCTATTCATACATATTTGTTTTTAACCCGATTCGTTGTGTTTATGCTGATAGAGCTTAGCATTTTGGATCCTTTCGGGGTTGCAGGTTTTTCGTGATAAAAGGAAGTGCGGATAAAAGTGTTCATTTGATCTCAGGCGTTAGCGAAAATTCGGGGTTGATTCGTTGAGGTACTTCGAGAATCGTACCGTACGGGAGTCCTCTGAGATTTAGTCTCAAAGGGTCGGGCAAGTTTAACACGACCGGTGGTCTCTCTTCGTGAGAGTGGCGCTTTAGCCACCGTGTTTAGAATTATCTCAAGAAGTTTCCCGCACGGTTACACACTGTTTCGATTAAGGGGGTAGTACACTTTGAACGTCCAAAAAGTAAGGCATTTTCGTTAATTTTTTTTAGCAATAAAACACTCAGGGAGGGCAAATATGTTATAACCCATTTATTAGTTATCCTTCGAACTACAATTTGTATTTTTTTGAACTCGATTGGCGTCTCCCCGTGGCCGGTGCACCAGGTCGCGCGGGCGTCCTCGCGCGGAAGTCGGAAAACGACGTGGGAAAATACTCCTTTCCATGTGATCCAGGAACATAAATCGAACAAAAATCCTGATTAGTAATGAAATTTCGGTTAGAAATACGTAATCCGATTTTTTTAAATTAATTTTTTCAAAAGTTGTGGCCTTGGAAAAAAAAGTCCATTTTTTCACCCTAAAAATGCTTAAAAATCGAAAATGACAAAATCCAAAATGTGGAAACGTATTTCTAAGCAGAATTTAATTCTGAACAAGAAAACCTAGCCGATATTCGAATTTGATGATAACTCGTAATAGTTATTTCCCACGCCAGTTTGAAAAACCCTGTTTCGAGATAAACGCGTTTAAAGATAAAATCTCTCTCTCAGTGCGCCGGTACATGTTTTAGGAAATCTCTTCGTAAAGCGGTAAGGAATATTCTGGCGGACTTGGAGTCTTTTCTAAATTAAAGTATACATCCCAAGGAACATTTTAAGCCAAAAAAAATGCATTTTTTTTTTGAAAAATCAAAGTGTACTCATCCCTTAAATGCACATTAAATTTTTTAACGTCTATCAAATAATTCATTGAAGTTCTCCTCAGTGTTTTTTGACGTTTGACAAGTCAGCCCAGTTAGTGAGTGAAATTCGCTAACTGGGTTGCGTTTAAAGTCCAGTTAGAGAAAAAGTACTGTAATGTATAGCAACCGATATATTTATCAAGATTAAAGCACCGAAATAATAGTTCCGTTGAAGTAAGGCAGTGTGAAAATTGTGTAAAGAAAGTAGGAAACAAACAAATGACATTTTTAAGGAAGGTTCGAAAGGGATTGAGCATTCCCTCTACCAAACTCATCTATTCATGAGGAGTGGTAATGGGTGTTTTCCTCACCAACCCCTCCGCCTGAAGGGTGATCAAAATTGCTACCAAGTGGTTCATTCTCTAAAATATCATTAAATTAATCCACAACATGTAAAGTCGACCACAACAATGACTAAATTATTAACGAAACCAACAGATAATATTTTCCGTTGAAAAAGGCCACAACCTATGGCCGAAACGTCGAGCAGATTACATCGTAGTCGTTAGAAACTGAGAAAGCCGTTAAACCAAACAATTTCCAGTCGTATCCATTACTAAGTTGTTGCTTATAATTAATGTGCTAATATTCTGAGATTTATCAAGTTTGCTGAACCAGTTCTATGCCCGCGAAGAAATGTTATTTCTCCTTACCAAAATCTCCATATAAACTTTCAACCAAAAGCGCCAGCTCGTGTTCCATCCGAATGTGCTGAAGTTTTCTAAGATTGGTTTTCTTAATGGCCTAAATCTGAGGGTTGGCCAGATGAAAAAATATATATATAAAAAATCTCTAATATTAATGTGGGCTAGGCTGGTTCATGAGTTTTGATTTTTCAAAGTACGTGATATCCTGGAAAATCCGAAAACTTCAACTAAAATTTTCCAGGAAAAATACCCCCCCCCTTTTTTGTTGAAATTTGTTTTCAACCATATTACCATAAAATTTCCTATGAATTACATAAAATTCTGAGACCCTTCAGCCCACTTTGTTCGATATTTAAAAAAAAACCTGTTCCAATATTTTAGTGTTTAAACATGACTCGTGCTCCTATTATAATCCATAAGTAATGTATATTTGATTACTTCGAACTTCCATTCGATGTACAACAACGTTGTATATTTGTGCTATTAGGACTGTGTTCAACATATAGCAATTTACAATTTTCTTCCATAATTCGAAGTCTCCAGCCCAAAGTTCCATCCGTAGTGAAAAATTCCGTTGCACTCTTCTCTCTCCCAATCGATCGTCTTCGAAAATGCACTTCGGGCTGACGCTCACGAGCTCTGCACTTTTCAATTCGCGCACGACCGATTAGCTATGGTGTGGTGGTCGGCAAGAAGCGAATCGTCGTAGTTCAAGGCCACTCATGGACAAGCCTACCCGCCGTCTTCAGGTTTTATATTATTGTGCGCCTTTCGAATCACCGAATGCTTCTTCTGCGCGTGGTTTAATGTCAGCAGGTTGGCGCGCTTAGGTAGGATGGCAGCAAAAGTGCAACTCACTCAGTGTAAACAAAGCCACGGTGACTGGCGCTAGGGCAAAATTTGTGCTGGTTAGTTGTTGGGCTGCTACCTGTCGATTTCTGTGTTCGAGTTGAGCTGGGTCTGCAACGAACACCTCGGAGTGTGCAGTTTGTTTACTCTCTGTGGCTCGATCGGGGCTAGAGGTTCGGTGTCAGTCGCACAGTTCTGAAGAGCATAATGCTCTCGTTCAAGGTGTGGCTCTATGCAACGTGCAATCAATACCTGGAAGTGATTTGTTTGAACAATTAATGTGCTCATGTTTTTTTTTAATTTACCCGTTTCTCATCATGTCGCGTGTACAGATAATGGCACTAATGGCATCGACAGCAATTAGTGGTGCGGTCGCAGCAACTCATTTGATTCACGCCCAAGGACTGACCGGAAATGGATCAATTGTGATGTCAAATAGCAATTTTGAAGCGATGGATTTTATGGTGAAAAAGTTTTGTAAGTTTCTATGCCTTTTGAAGTGAGAATACTTTTTAATGATATTAGTTCGGCTGGCCATCCCAAGAAGATGATGAAGCACTGTGAAAAACATATTTCAGTATGGCCCGTGTAACCTTGGATAGATTTTATGCAATCCGAAGTGGAATTCCCCATTTATATTTTTCTAATCCGTTTTCGTTTTAGTTCGCGATCGTGATCACGTTCTTCTACCTCGTTCAGCTGGTGCGGTTTCTAACGATTCCGTTGCGTACGCGGTTGGAAGAAACGGAGGAAGTGCGGCGTGTTAAGCGGCTTTCTGCTATGGTGGTTAGAGCGATCATGGCCGCTGGGTAGTGCGTCATGTGGCTCTCAGTGAAGTTTTGCTGCTTTCATGAGTCCAAAATACAGTCGAAATATGTGTAACTAATCAACTTATCGACTGCCATAGTAAGTGCCACTAAAATTGACCCACTACTGAGCCATTACCGTATAGCTTTACTCGACTGTTCGAAATGAAAAAAAAAAAAACTGAAGCAGAAACCTACGGCCGAGCAACCACGGCAACTATTTAGCCTTGATGTGTGCATTACAGCCATAGGCTGTCGCAAGCTGTGATGAAACGATTTGTGTACCCGTAAGCGCGTAAATATAATATCGAAAATTTGATACTGGTCGATTTACATATGATGCTTCGTTAAGGCTATCATTATTTGTAACAACACAGTCTGAAGCAAGAAATTATAATAAATAGTTAGACCAATTGTAAATTTTGACTAAAAATCAATTAAATTTTAAGTTTTAGCCTTCAGCTATGGTGACATACGACAGAAATAATCAGCATTTGTGTACATACACATAACCTCACAGTTTATTGAATTACTTAGCCCCCACGTACATGAAGATGACGATTGTAGCAATGATGATGCAACGATGCATGTGGTTATTGGTTGAGTCCAATTGTAAAATATTTATCACGTCTGGGCCCTAGGCAGCAAAGTGGCATTTTGTGATTTATATAGTGTGTGTTTTGTTGACCGAGCAATATAGTTGGATGAATACACTGGTAGCTTGTTGATGTGCTTATGTTGCAATAAACAACTAATTGTGTGTACGCATGCAAAGACGCGACAAAACTGGAATAAAACCAATTTGTGATATGATGTATTTTTTATATAAAGATTTCGTGTAGTTTTTTATCGATAGAAGAATAGAGAAACGCTGGGGATTTACATGGAACTTGTTATGCTTTTAAGCACAGCTTATAAAGACTCCTTATTCCTGATAACTTGATGTTTTCTTAAGGTGTTTCCTCCTAAAGTCAGTTTTATCATCACACTTCGCTATTTCAAGAGAAAAAATCTCACAAATTACAAGGTTTATAAATATGTAATTTTAAGGTATAGATTGCTTCTCCGCAGCAAAGAACAGTTAGTAGTTTTAAATACGCTGCCCATAGAAGCATAACAGGGACAGCTATGCTTTTATGGGCAGTAGGTGCAATATTACGCTACCGTATCATTGTGACCGTCGAAGACAGGGTTTTCTAGGCTCTTAACAGACCGTGAAAATGACGCCCTTTCCTAATAGAATAAATCATGAATCGGGTAAAGAGAATATAAAGTTGTTTTTTTTTAAATAAATAATCACTTTAAGTAGATTCCTGACGATCTCCGGGAGTCCGTGTTGAGGCTAGGCGAACAACACGAACTCCCAAAGAACGTCAAAAATCTACTTGGCCTACTACCTCTCAACCTTGGCTGCGCTGATCGCTTTCCTGAAGGACGCCCACCTGCACAACTAAATTTAGCTCTATCGACGTTGGCCGCGCTGATCGTATTCTCTTCACCTTTATATTTTTTTTTTCTACCGTCGGAGTATCTCTTCCGGACGGGGGCACAACGCCGGGACCGTTTGTAGGGATTGTATTTGTTGCTCAATATTTCTTCACGTTTGGAATTATAAATTTAAGCTTAGGCCAATGTAATTTTTTTTTTCTCCAAAATCCTGATGTTGCAAAAATGGTTTATTGAGTGCAATTTTTTTTATAAACTTTTTGAATTTTTTCTGCTTTTAGATAACTTTAAAAATTCTCTTCTTGAAATTATTCTGTTGCCAGGGTTTGCCAGGCTTTTTAATGGTTATAACTCTCACCCGCCTCCAATCATCCATGACAGCATTGAGCTCCATGAACAGACCAAACAAACTCAACATGCGCCTCTTAACGACGTCTGGAAGGTTCTTCAACAAGTTGAACTTGATCCTATTGAGCCACACGAAACGAGCGCGATTGAGAGCTCTACCATTGAAAAAGGCTTGCTGAGCTTGTCTACCGAATTCGTCGCGAGGAATCATCCGTGCCGGCACACTTTTCGGGCAAACTTAACAATCCAACGATCCAAGTACTCCTCGCTCTCGTTGTTTAAAGACCGGTTACGCGTTCCAAAGCGTTTTCATCGACGTTTCGCGCGATAATCCGTCCACGAATTTCCGCCAGTATACACGTTTCTTGGCTTTAATGAGGCTCTTGAGCTCGCGATCAAGAGCCGAGTACGCTTCGTAATGTACGGACGATACGGACTTTTTACGATAAACCTCAGTGCATTGCTGGTCCCACCAAGGGGAAGGAGGTTTCCTACGGATAGACGTTCCTGGAACCGGCCGAGTTTGAGCTTGAAGCGCGCTGTACAAGATCAGATTGGAGTGGAAGTTATTTTCATCCAACGGTGGATTGAACCCAATGGCAACTGCAACTTTGATCGGCAAGTGATCACTACCGTGGGGATCTTGGATCACATTCCTCGTGCAATCCAACGATAATGAATTAGAACAAAGTATGAGGTCTAATCTGCTTCCATTCAAGGATGGGCCAGCCAAACGTGTTACTTTTCCATTGCTAAGAATTGTCATATTGAAGGGGGAGCAGGAAGTACTGAACATATATCTGAAAGTTATTTTGAATTAACAACAAGTACTTCTCCTCCACGTGAATCCTCACGATCCAGTCGAATAATGTTAAAATCATAAAAAGGAAGATCTACCTAGGTATATCTTAAGAAAGTCAAGGTGCACAAAGAGCAAATGCATCACAATCATTATTGTGAACTATAAACTTAAAAGAGTCTAATTAAGAAATGATACTTCGAAAATTCCACTGTAGAACAGTGATCAGATCCCCGACCTCCTTTGAAAAATTATCCATCGATGGAAATGATTGCTGCAAGGAGTTAATTGTGTCAATTGATTCAAAAGGGTCTTCACAGTAGGAAACATTGCCAGAACAATGCTTTTGAGAAAATCAGAACTATCGAGGCACTTGAGGATACCGTCCACAATGTTATCAATTAAGAAAAACCCAGCTGAAGAAGGAGCTTCTGTTCTTTAAACTGGGCATCAGGGGGTTCGGATGTCCCCGAGAGAGGTGGAAAATCCTGGGTATAGTCAGTTCTGCGGAATCTAGGAGGAGTAGAAGTCTCCTTTTTTCCACCACTCCTTGATTTGGGTAAGCTGATTTGAGGTTCTTGATTTGTAACTTTCCGCGAACGAATGCGTTTTCGTTTCTGTGCAGAACCTTCCGGAAAACTGAAAGAAATTCCCTCCTCAGCCAAATCAGAGTCAGGATGAGGAAAAGTTTCCAGTTCGCCAGCAGTTCCGGAAAATACGAGCTCCGTCTATAACGGATCCTCAACGGCCACATCTCCGTTTGGCGGTATCAGGTCGACATCGGCATCAAAAACTGACAACGTATTTGCTGCCCCCAGCTTCAGTAACAATTGATCCAACGTCACCTCAGGCTTCCCACCGTTCTCTTTAGCCCTTTGGATTACACTCTCAGCTGACTACGGCCACGCAAGCCGCTGTTTGCATCGTTTTTAGTCGTCCTCTGCCATCCGTAATCCTATCATCCTCGTCGGGGTCTTCCTCCCCATGATAATTTGTTAGTTCCATTTCTTATGCAGCTGTTCGCACGATTTCTCCGCTTTTGTCAATGTTTTCCAGAATTATTTTTTTTTCAACATCACAGTGCCAGGACATATTTGAGCCATGGTAGATACTAAATGGTTGCATCAAAAGTTTACAGTAATGGAGTTTGAAAACTTATAGATTCATGCGCTTAATTGGAACAAGATTGTAAATAAGTTCTCCGTAACGTGGGTAGATCACCTTTTCGTGGTACGTTACGGGATGTAAGATCTACCACCGATTCCTAGTCCTAACTTCTTCAAACTAGGGGAACCGGATTTTTCAGTAATCAAAGGAACACATCTTAGTCCTTGTTACTTTTTATGCCTTGTTGATAGTGATAAGTCCTCGGGTTGCCTGGACCGAGGATGATCTTAAAACAAGGAAAAAATGAGTTAGTTAGTCTTCACCTATGTGATTCCTAATCTTCTAATCGTTGTTCCCTAGTTTGAAGTGGTTAAGACTAGGGTTCTGATGCATGGTCATTATCGGTGTCATAGCTTGTTTTTGTTGTTAAGGAATCCAATTTTGACTGACAAAGGGGCGCGCCTTTGGAGGGTGTTCCAACTCCGAAGGGTATAAATAGCGGAACCTTTCAGTTAGAATCGATTCCTTGCGATGAAGGCAAGAATGACAACTGTATCAAAACCGAATACTTCATCATTTCTCAATAGTGATGGAGTAATACGACATGCACTAAACTAAGGACACGGGATATACTACAATAGATCAAATTAATGGTCGCAGTGGTGTTATGTCCCGAACAGAGGAAAAAAAAAAGTTCTTCGACACTGATTACTTCGTTAACTTTGTAGTAACATCTCTAAACAGTTGCTCAATTAGAACAAAAAAACAAATGATTCATACTGTGTTGCACCAAAGTTTCAATAAACATAATGTTTTAGGGAACTCGCATAAACATAACACAATATTTGTTGCTCAAGTGTTTCAAGCAATATCACGTAGAATATAACTTCATACCAATTTAAGTGTAACAATTTTGCTCCTCCAAACGTTCGTCCACTGATATGAATGTTGAACCTGCCGTAATCAACAGAAAAGTGTAAAATATATTTATTTTCCGGGGTTCGTATTAGATTTCACTTTCATGCATGACAGGGAGAATTCGGACAAAACGAACATTTTCCCAAGTTCAGATCAAGACAAGACTCGTGAAATTAGTTTTTTTTTATTAGACTCAAACGAATTAACTTTACAGAGCCGAGAATTCTTGGTCACTATACAATACATCTTAAAACAATAGCCAACAAGATAATAAACACTTTATCTTCCGCTATCCAAAAAGCCTCCTCCATCAGAACTGGAGCCGCTTCCAGTGGTTTCATTGTATGGCTGTTACGCCAACGGGGGTCAGAGCCAGAGTTGATAAATATCACGGCCGTCATGTGACGATGAGAAAACAGGTCCTCTCACTCTCACTCACTCTCACGAGGCGAAACGACCTATCATTAGCATTCTTGTCAGTTTTTCAATTATCAAGCACTTATGAGAATAATTCTTATGCGGTTTTGACATCAACATTTCTAACTGATTTAGATGAATTTAAGCAAATAACCGTATGTGATGGGTAGAGTGAATATATTATTAAGATTTCCTCGGTACAAGTACTTTAAAAGCATTATATAAACTAGTAATTACGATGATCACAACAATGTAACGTTCTGTCATGATTTTGAAGAAAATCTCTATCATCGTTTTCTCATCCAATGATAGTGACAGAAGTAACTCTGTAAATATCG